ACTGCTATTAGCTATGAAAGAGAGAGGGAGAGAGAGAAAGAGAGATAGTATTAGCCATGGACTTGAGTAAACAAGCCTTGAATAGTTATACTGGATTGGACCTACTGTTGAATTTCAATAAAATTAAAAGAATTTACACAATGTGTGGAAGACATTAGCATATATAAATATTTGAGAAAATGAAAAATGGCTGTTAAGAAGAGTCACACAAAAATTGCTCTTAACAATAAATTTCAAATATTAAAGCTTTTAGGAATTTTGACATACTTTTGAAATTTGAAAAAAAAAGGAATGTGAAAGAGAAAGGAAAGAATGATGATAGATTGTGGCAGGAAGGGTTTTTTCAGATTGTTGATCGTTTCTTATCTTTCATAATCAGATTATTCTTGCAGTTATTGTGATTTTTTTTTTTTACAAAATTAATTTTTCACAAAATAGTTTGCAATCGAATGTAGGAATTCTCTCAAAAACGCACAATGCATTAAGTTGAAACGATTTATATGAACGGAATAAATAAATGCAGGAAAAAAAGAAATTTAAATTTTATCCCAACCATCTCAGTGCTACAATCTACCTTTGTGAATACAAATGATTTAAATTTGATCGATAAAACTAATATACGGAATGCATAACAGAAGCGATCATTAAATTTCCACTTAATTTCATGCAAATAATTTTAAATGAAAGCAATTTAATATCAATGGAAAGATGAAAAATTGAGCATTTGAACAGCGAACATTTTGAACTCTTTAAAATGTGAGCATAATGAATGGAACAGCAATTGTTTTACTGATCATTTCATTGCATATGTGCACTTTATTCATTGATTATTTCAAAATTTGTTAAATATTGGATTAATAATGAATTGAACTCTCTCTCTCTCTCTCTCTCTTTCTCTTCCTCTTTCTCTCTTCCTCTTGTGCCCCTAAAGAAGATTGATTTAAACTGATGTAATTCATTTGGCATACTTAATGATGAACAGTTAAAACAAAAGAAAGAAGAGTGTTCCGCGTTTTTTTGACTTCAATAAAATTATAATTTAATGTGATATTTTGATTGTACTGATATTAACATACTGATATTGCACATATATAATCAAACGAATTGCAAAAATGAAATGATGGAGAGAATTGAATATAATATGTATTCCAGTAAGATAAAGCTTTGTAAAAGTATATAGATATATAATTATGCGCGAAAAATTCTAAGGATTAATTGAAATAAAGCGCTATTAATGGTCATTTCATGATACGATAAGTATTTATAAAAAGTGAAGAAATTAAAATATGCTGGCAATTGAATCAAAAATTATTTGACTTTATGAGAATATGATTTATTAAGTTGTTTCTTTAATAAAATAACGAACAAAGTATCAAGGAGAGAGAAAGAGAGGGAGAGCGAAATGAAAGAATTTAGAAGAGATTTGAAAAATATACCTCAAGATATTTCAACAAAGAACTTATAAAAAATATGCAATATTGCATCATAAAAACAGGTGTGAGCAATTGAAAAGTAAATGATTGAAACTGGAGCTGAAGCAAGAGTGGTTGAAGCAAGCAAGATAGTGACATTTGATAACTCACTAATCTCGATCTTGATTTTCTTGCTTATTCGCATTACAAGAACATTTTCATTTTTCTAATTGATTAAGTGCTTTTTCAAAGAGACTTAAATCACAGCAAGTACAATTTCTGCTGATTTCTGCACTTCTACACGAATAATTTTTCCCAACTTTTGAAACTATTATAAATCGATTATTGATTTTAACTTTCTTTAAAAATGTTTCGTCTAAAGAAAAGGATGACAAAAGCTAAATGAGATTTCAGAAAATTTGTTCGTTACTGGATGTCATTAGTTCAATAATCATTCGTTCTGAAATCAATTCCAATCACCCATTCGTAAAAATCGTGAATAAATTACTACACCACAAAATGATATGAGTTACAGTGTTACTGGTTTATGTATATCTGAATTTTATTTAAAAGTGGGATTGAAAATGATTAATTTGAAGATCCTCTACTAATTCCAATTTTTCAAACACATCAACTTTTTTTTGCTTCTCAAAAAAACTTCCTTTTTTCGCATTTGCCTTTGTAAATTATTTACGTCTTTATTAAAATCAAAGAGTTAGCACCTTAATGTTTAGACCACTAAACCGGGCCATAACAAATTATTTAGGTAACCATACTTTACATTAAAATTGCAATTAATTACTTTATCCGCAGACATATTATTATTATTATCGTGATCAATAATTTTTTCTACACTATATAATCAATTGTAATATTGATTTCTCTTAAGAAATTTACTCTTTTATTAGGAGTCTTCAGAAATATTCTCAAAAATTTCTTCTGAGCCAAAAAAGTGGCGAACATGGCAAAGCCATTAAATGAATTGACTGAAATGTTACAGGCATATGGTTGTAAATTAAATTGATAACGAATGATATTTGATCATTTATCCTGTCTTGTGCAAATGAATGACAGTTGATTTATGGACATCTATGCATGCATGCTATTTTGATACCGTGCTAATAATGCATGCCACAATCAACCCCAGGTATTGCTTGTGTCTTTTCCATTGATAATGTCACTATTAAATCTTTATTGCTTTTTTCTTCTTAATTTTGTAATCTTTATCGATCGACGTTAGTTTACTTCTTTATTCTTGCTAATCGATATTATCATATAAATGATGAAGTATAACCTTTTGGATATTATTATTTTCACATGAAACGAATTTGTTTTGTTCAAGTTTTTAACTTTGCTCAAAAGATTATTAAATTCCAGTAATATTGGATAACAATTATTTCAACTAATCAGCAATGAGATTATCATTAATCAATTTGGCAACAGCGACTGAATTTATGCAATAATGTTGAATTGAATTGTTGACAGTCATAAAATCTTTAATTTTCAAGATAACAAAGGAATTCAATTTTGGGACTAGAGAAAAACAGTTTGCCAAATGATTTTCTCAGATGAGAAGATAAATGCAAAGAACTATGGACCGTGGCTGGATCTTACCGCTATTTCCTTATTTGTTTTGTTTGAACAATATACGACTGTTCCTGAATACTGTTTTTAAGACATTGTTTCAGACCAAAATCTTTCCGAACTTCGATATGTTCAGATTATTTCATCAACAAATTGCTTTAAACATTTTAAATGCCTTTCGAAAGAACAAAAAAATGGCAAAATTTATACTTGAATATTTTCAATTATACCTTACAAACATTGATCGCCATTTAAATTTAAGAATTCCCTTAATAAAAAAGTGAAGAACTTTACTGAGAGTCCAACCATGGGCAAATTAAATTCTATAATAATTTTTCAAACATCGAGGAGCCATTTTATCGGTTATACTAGACTAATAAGAAATGAAATACCTACGCTTATTTGAAGATAACAGATATGCGTGGCTAATATTTATTAAACATGAAATTTTCACATAAAGCATATTTATGTTTTACCTCCCTAATTCTTCTGAATTATTTCTACCGCCAAAAATGTGATCGAAGAAATGTGATCACATTTTTGGCGGTAGAAATAATTAGGAAGAATTGCGGAGGTAAAACATAAATATGCCTTATGCGAAGATTTCATGTTTAATAAATATAATCACGCATGTCTGTTATCTTGTGTTTTTCCTTAAAATTTCAAGTGAAATGGTACTGGGATGAAAGCGATCAGAAATGATGACAGTTTCACTACAGTAGTTGTTCGGACAATCGGAATCACCTCGATAGCAAGCAACAGCACATTGAATCGTTGTATACATAGAATGCATAATCTTGCGTTATACTATGCAATTTTAAGCACTCACAGTGTACACATATTTCAGCACCGCGTACCCGATCCCTCATTATCTCCCTCAATAAGTAAATGTACAGATGGACATAAGAATTGTACCAAGGAAATCAATAAAGCACAGCGAAATCATTGCAACATTTCAGATGGCATTTTTGAATGTTAAAATTTTGAACATTCTGAAACTGATCAAGCCTTTTATGGCTTCGGCGTAATTTAGACATCATAAGTTTTCAGTGGGTTAAATATCGAACAATTTACTGATAAAGCAGATTGATTGTCTTAAAAAAAATCCCTCTAACAGAAGATTAATTATGCAGTAATTCAAAATTACAAAAGCATTTCAGAATTAAAATGTTTTTGAAAATTGCTACAAATCAAGGTACAAGACTATTTATTCATTACTAAGAAATTTCGTTCTTTGATGCAGTCAGCAGTTTCCACCATGCATCTCAACACTCCTGTTTTACGGACAGCCTTTACGCCACTACATCAATAATCCCCACCATAAAAGATAATTACAACTGTGCCTAAATATAAGGAACCATTCTGTTAAACTACTAGTCTCAAACATTTCGCATACTGACTGGCTAAGCTTGTATTCAAAGAAACTATTTTATAAACATATTTTTTTTACTAAAAGAAATTTTTTACTGCTCCAAACGTCAAAAAAAATCAAATGTGACTGTATCCATCATCCTAATAACACCAAAAAAAACCATACACGTTCATCTTCATTTGAAACATATGAAACAAGATAAAATACAATCTAAAAATAGAAAAAAAGTCTATTAATGTATCAAGCAAAATAAAATCGGCTCTCACGTGTTTTTTCTTGCAAATAAAAATTACCTCACATTGATTCATTAATAAAATTGTTTCATACTCTGATTTTATGGATTTCTGAATTATTTCATCACCTACTTCTAAGAATCCCATTTTCTGACTCATTCTTGCTTAGGTTATACAGCTTTAAAATCTAATACAAAATCGCGCAAACGAATTCAAAGTTTCTATCTTTGCAGTCATACATCTTGAAAAATACAAAAGATTCTCATAAGTGATTCTCATTAAAAGTTGCAATTAAATGCTTAATTTTAACCTTAAATCCCTACAAAAAAACATGAAAGCAATCAAAGAATCAAAAGAATATATAAACTTCTCTCTTAAAACTGAAATTACATTAGTTCATTATGATTCCTCTACGTTTGGTAAGACATGATCAGCTAATTCTACTACCTGTTTTGGAAATTTCGGGGGTCCAATTAACCGTATAACGTCTTCATAACTCAGCATTTCTTTCTCCAATAGTGAAGCTGCCAGCTACAATTTATTTTTTTCGTAAAAATTAAAATGAAGTATATATAAAATATGAGCGAAAATCGTCATCTCAGTTCTTTGTGAATTTGAAAAATGCACTGATCTTGAATGAAAATAATTTGGATAAAAGAATCTGGACTGAAAATACTTGAACCAAATTTGAAGAATATGATTCAACTTCAAACTGACAGCAATTATGCAACATAAGGATGAAAATAGACAGACAGGACTTCAAAAAATGTTATCTACTAATATACTGAATAAGAGATAAGGATCGAAATACCATACCTTTTTCAGTTTTTCTTCATTTGCCTTTAAAATGCTTTCTGCAGTAAAGTATGCTTTCGAAACTAATTTAGAAGCCTCCTGAAGAATAATTAGCACGTGGTTTAAATTTTAGCAGAAACCAATCAAATAAAAGACTCTTATCTAATGAACAATGTACCTGGTCAATTAGATGTTGCAATTTCATGCTAAAAGGTTTTTTGCAAATTTCCAACTCGCTTCGTTTACTGTCATCCATTATTGGAAAACTGAGGGGGCCTACAGCTTCGCTCATTCCATACAGTTGTACTTGTGCATATGCTGACTTTGTGACCTGAAAGAACCGGAAATTTGAAGACAAACAACAATTTAGTACATATATATGAAAAATATATTGCACACCAAATCCGTTTTCTGAAAAAGGATTATTCAAAAAAATCCTTTGTTTCGAAATTAGATGAAGTGTTCCCAATTATACATTAATACCATTTTCATTTTCAATAATCACCTTTTTTAAATCATCTTCAGCGCCTGTAGTAACACGTCCAAAAATAATATTTTCTGCTGCTCTACCTCCAAGGAGCATGCACATACGATCAAACATCTGTATTAAAAGCATGTACTGTTTGTGAAGGTAGCACTTTTAAATGATACAGCATATCTAAGGGAAAAAATTTATGTTCACCAATTAACGACTTTTTGTCATAGCTAGTTAATAACTTCGAGAGACAAGTTGAAAATGATGAAAAACCTCGTCTTTAGTTAATATTTTTCGTTCTCGTGGGCTGTACTGAGCAAAACCAAGTTTAACACTTGTTCGTGGAATAATGCTAACCTGAAAAGCGGATAATGGACGGCGTCACTTATTCAAAGTCAAAAAAACTAAGATGAGTATTACCAGTATCGAAAAATGCCTTACGCAAATATTATGAATATCTGACTACACGATCTAAACACAGCTATACAACACGAAGTGAAAGATCACAATAATTATTAATGGATGAAAATCATGCAACTTGAGAAATCTAGCTAATTATTTAGCTAGATTCCTCAACTCGCATGAGTTTCTCTGGTCAATCAATAAAAACAAATCGGTAGGCAATTTTTGATTAATCAATGAAAAACCCTTAGCAAGGCATCAGTGTGCTCGAGCAACCATCCAATCAAAGCATGACCAGATTCGTGATACGCTACGATTTCACGTTCTTCTTCTACCATTGATCGACTCCTTTTTTCTGCACCTGAAATGAAGTCTACCATTAAAATCACAACAACACACATGAAAATTCACAAAATTAAAATTTCTCTGAACTTTAACTCAACATATTTTACGCTTCACTAGTGGAACCCAAAATTGCAAACCTGCAAGAATTCTCTGCAATGATTCATCTAGTTCATCTATAGTCACCATACTTTTCTTTGATGACGCCGCCCGAATAGCTGATTCATTTACCACATTTGCAATGTCTGCTCCTAAAATAAGACCATTGACTATACTAGAAAGCTGCTATCTAACAACATCATTGATTTTTTTTTCTTCAACGAAATACAATATGGACCAAGATAATCGACTCTATTTCAACAATAAATGTACAACGACACATGCTCACACCATTAGTTTTAATAGATCATTAAAGCATTGGTGCCAGGATCTGCATTAATTGATAAGTCAAACGACTGTTAAAGCATTAAAAAAAATACAACTTTGATGAAAGCCAATTAAATTGAAAACCAGCAATAATATCTCATGAAATATAAAACGAGCATGTAGTTTTCAGCAAATAAAGAATCTAAAACTTGTTTTGACCTGAAAATCCTGGCGTTCTTTGAGCAAGCCTTTTAGAATAATATTGTGGTTCATGATCCAACTTAATTTTGTTCAAATATAATTCGAACATTTCTTGCCTTTCCAAAGCGGTAGGAAGATCGATAACGATGTGTCGATCGAATCGACCAGGGCGAAGAAGAGCCTGAAAAATATATTTCACTATAAACAGAAAAATTTATATTAATCGCATTTATTTCGCAAAGAATAAATTCTCGACAACACGAATTAATTACTGTATAATAAATATAGGTTAAAAGAATCACTCGAAGAAATACATTTATATTAGGTTTCACACCGAAGCCTATATAACCACAGATGTAAGAACTCATTTAAATAACAGTACGATAGCTCTTCCCAAAACTAAACCTTATCCAATATATCGCCACGATTTGTTGAACCAAGTAAAACGATACCGCGACCACTATCAATTCCATCCATCTCTACGAGTAACTGATTCAAAGTTTGTTCCTCTTCTCGACTTCCACCACCTGCAGCTTCGCTGAAATTGTTAAAATTCAAAACCAAAATATTGAAACACAATTAAAATTACCTTTGACTCCTTTTGCGTCCTATAGCATCTATTTCATCGATATAAATAATGCAAGGTACCATTTTCTTTGCTGTTTTGAACAAATTTCTGATCCTGGATGCTCCCAAACCTAAACGGTACCAAACAGATTTCTGAATGAAACAACTGTACTCTTTACCATATTTAAGCGTAAAGTACAAGAACTACATGTAAATATCGAAAAAGAACGAGGCATAATGCTTAAGTTAATTATAAATACCTCCAATCATTTCAACAAATTCAGTGCCATTCATCGAAATAAATGGCACTGAAGATTCGGCAGCAAGGGCTTTTGCCAAAAATGTCTTCCCACATCCAGGTGGACCGGTAAGCAATGCACCTTTCGGCAGACGAGCTCCCATTTTCTAAAAATTTATTTCAATTTTCTCAAAAGATGCAATTTTAGGAATTTTTCTCTTTCGTTTCGCCGAAAACATGGATTTGATAAAGATCGTTTAAGAACCAACTGATAACTTTATTACTTGCACCAACAGCAGAACCATCTTTTAAGAAGACAGTGAAACTCGTTACTAGAGGTAATGTAGCATAACAGGTTGAATAACTATTTTTGAAAAAAAAATTTTAGTAGTTTACCATATATTTTTCAGGACGTTTGAGATAATCCACAAATTCTTTAATCTCAATTTTGGCCTCATGCAAACCCGCAACATCTTTGAACTTTATTTTTTGAGCGATATCATTTGGTGTGATTATATTGAGCTTCATTTTTAGACCAAGCACATCTTGAAATGAACTCTGGAAATTGAAACTTACAAATTCATTAAGATGCTATTAGCTAAAAGCCTACTACAAAGTTATTAGAATTTTTTAAAAAGTGAAGAAGTTAACACTCACTTTCACTGATGGAAGAGATTTTGAGGCTCCAAAGAGCATTAATACCAATAAAAGCAGCAAAAGAAGATCTCTGAAAGGAATAACAGTTAGTAAGGTATAGGGAGATAGGAATACATATACATATACAAAACACAAACGTACAGAAATCCTTGCATTGAAGTGTCGATAACAGCAACCGGTGCCCACTCTTCTGGTGCTTTTCCTAAGGTAGTTTCTACCGCGCGTATATCAGTTTCCAATCTTTTAGGATCCATAGCTGTCAACACATACACTTTTTGCCAACCTATACCTGGCCTGAACATCTGCAAAATACATACTGATTTCTATTAAAAAATCAAAAATTACAGGTCTAATTTGTTAGTTAATCGCCGACTGCCGTTAATTTCTCTTCCCAAAGCAATTAATCTGTTTTTGTAATAAACTGTTAAAAATAATCTTAATGATTCACAAAAAAAATTAGATTAAATAAAACAAGAATCTAAACATTATAAAAAGATTTTTACATTGTATCCATACTCACTGAACGGGATATTCTGCATTGGACCCGGTTTCATAATAACACGAACGAAATTTCCAGTCATTACTATTTGTTCAATCTTAAAATATCAAAACATTTATTAAGATTTTCGATAACTCAGTTATTCCTTGATGATAACTATTCATAAACTTATTTAGCCACTATATATCTTCTTAACAATTCAAATACGTTATATCTAGTAATTATGAAAATGATTTTTACCTGTCCTGATGGCACTATGTAGGTCAGAAAGTCATGTACCGTCAGCTGATTTGCATACCTTGTCTGCCATACGCCTGCTAAAGCTGACATCACTACTGTTGCTACTACACTTCCAATCAACAAACCCGTGAAAATTTTCCCTAAATTTTGAAATAAAAGATTAATAAATAGAATATCAAAAAAAAGATCAAAATCATCAGTTCTACGACAGAATTAAAATCAACAACTCTTGAATCTGTTGAAATTTTTAAAAAATTGCAAAAATGTGCACTATGGATTGTTCTTGTATAATAATGAAGTTTCTTTTTTTAAAGTATGCTATCGTTGAGACTATCGCACTTCAAACTTTGTTGCCAAAAATTTTATATTTTACATCACCAATGAATTAAAAATTTACTTGATCTTCTATTATCAGGCTCTTTTGACGACTCTTCTTTACCTCGATCATCACCTTCATTGCTTGCTGCACGCAGAACTAGAACAAATTTTTTCTTTAATAATTCCAATACTATTGGATACATAGAATTACGGCTTGCAATTTTCTTGAAAGACCTTCAAAGGACTTTCATAGGAGCTTTAAAGTGACCAAAAACCACGGCTTTGAGCATGTAAATGTGACATGAAAGATAGAGCGGAGCAAAATTGATGTCATTTACTGCATTACCAATACAAGCATGTTGTAGAGTAATTTAAGCGCCGCTGTTATTCAGAACAAATTATTATAAAATTTTAATGTAATGAAGCAGTAGATATTTTTTGACTGATGTAGTATGCGGTGTTTCTAGCATCAATTAAATTAGTCGTGACAAACTCTACAATGGCCACTTATTTATAAAAAAATTCGTAAATGATACTAATTTACTGCTCACACTATAATCAATAATGCATCTGTTAAGGAAAAAATATACAGCAATGGAAAAAAACTAACCCGAACATGAGCTAAAGAAATGACCCAATAACGATGGCGTCAGCTCGCGTAATGGCAAGCATATTAAGGGTGAAGTTTTGAAAAGGCACTTCTTGGAAAGCGAATGTATGAGTGAAAACTGCAGCAAAATGCTAGTCTTCCGATGATGTGCAATAAATGAACGAAAAAACTGTTTACCAGAATAGCAGTTAATAAAACCACCAACTCTCAACATCTAAAATATCACTTCAATTTTCTGCAAATCTATTTCGGAATTTTTCAAACTACGTGCGTTTGTGGTACTACTACCAAACGCAGTGCACTGAATGTTCGAAAATTCTGATAATATACCACATTTGAAGAAATCAGTAGCAATGCACAATAACGACTCTAAAGAATTGCTCTACTGTAGAATTGCTCTACTAAAGAACTGCACTTATTAGACAAATACATTTCGAATGGGAATGTTTTTAAATAATGATAATCGCACAATGATACTTACCCCACGCACAACTTTGTAGTCTTATTTTTTGCACTTTGCTATTAATTATAAGCATTCAGAGGACCTGAAATATTATAACATCACACACCAATATTATATGTTCCAAACAAATAATCTTTCAATTTTCCTGGTAAAATTATCAACAGATGAAAAGTACGGAGATGTGACGGATCTCAATCGTCCGACTAGCACACGCATTGATATATCAGCAACTCTTTCACCGTGTTATCCACCAAATATACTTATCTGTTTCGTTAGGAGATGTCCTGTTGGCGTCGGTAAAAGTGAAAGTGTCTTCAGTTTTTCTCTGTTCAGCCATTTCTTCACCTTTAATTTTAATTTTCAATTAAATTTTTTAAAAAGTCTTTAAATTGAGAGAATACATTCCAAGACTCATATCGATAGTTGTCTCACAACTTACTCGTTCGTCGGTAATTCGCGGTTTAATTATTAAGAGTTCTAGGTTTTCAAACTTCCACTTCAATTTAGAAGTTTTGATGAGTTTCAGGACGTTTGGAGGATTGAGGTCGAATTATACTATGTTGTTGGCCAAAAGAGCAATTCATACGTGCATGGCACGCTATGGCCCTGTGAGAGATCGAATTGTACAGAGGCTTCAAATAGAGTTTAAAGTGTTTATTTATTTATTTTTTGACGATGAAAATGGGAGCATAAAACTGAATTCAATGCATATAAATATAAAGATAAACAATTTTATAATCTATGAAAATAGAATATGTTCATGGTGCTTTAAAATGCAAAATAAATTTGATTTCGCGTTTACGCGCAGATGGGTTACTAATATGAGTGAGACTTGGCGAATTAATTTTGTTTGTAGGGTTTACCGAAAATTTGACATGACCGGCTACGAAAAATTCATAATTTTATATAATTATATAAATGCAAAATGTTGATCATAACAATGGCATCAGATTTTATCCCTTTCAAAACATTTGGAAAAAATATTTTAGGTTCCGCGAGCACAAACTAATTTAGTACTAAATATGTTGAGATAGTCGAAAATTTCCTGGCATTAATTATTTTAGCCTACGCATTTGGAAGTGGATTGTGAAAGTCACAATCATGCAGGTCAGGATGACGATGAAAGACATTTTTATGTGCAGATTGTATCCAACAATTTCGAAGGATTGAAAACCATACAGGTGAGAATTTTCGACAAGCTTAGCAGTCTAATTGCTGCAGTTAGCATAAAATTTTGCTTATGGAAATTTTGTTATAATTATTATAGAAAAACTGGAATTAAATGCTTACATAATTCATTTCCTTACCATCGTATAGATGTATTTAAAAATTTTCTGTTGGAGTACATTGAAATTTGTAGCGAAGATTAGTATTTCAGGCTAGTGCATTTTCCATCTAAAGATAGATAACATCATTAATCATATTTATAAAATCATTGGACAGTCCCTGCTGCATAAGTTTTTATACTTTCCGATCTTAGCCAATACAGCTGATTTTTTGCATTACAGATGCATCGTCTAGTTAATAATTGTTTGCGAGAAGAATTAGCAGGACCAGTGCATGCACTCCGTATCGATGCTTATGCCACATCACAGTTCAGTCGTGATCCACCCACGGTCCCACCAAAATGCGCCCATACTCGTACAGAACGTATTTCCAAATAGTACCACACATTTTTTGAAAGCACTACAATAAGAAAAAATGATGTTCAATGGTAACATGTGTTTGTACAACTATGATAGATTGATTAGAAGAATTAATCACTCACTTTGATGTTTTAAAAATTCTTTATTCGTAAGTTCACATATGATGCTGTTGCCTTTAGAGTGATTTCTTTGCAACACTGCGCAGAAAAATGATCATGATGGGGTTAATCAGAAATTATGTGAGTAAAATCATTATAAAATGCAATACATCTATTATATCAAGTTAGAAATTACATTTATAGAATAGGAGATTTTTGAATTCAAATGTATTAGTTCAAGCTACTGTCTTTGTTAGTCTCCTTAAATTAATGATTAACTCTACGTCATAGTACGAATTCATAGATGATGAAGAAAACAAGTTGGAGTGGTTTATGATGTTGGACTAGAGAATACTGTTCTATATTTTAAAGTTAACTATGGCTCTGTAAAAATACGATATAAAGCAGTTAAATAAAATAGTACGTAATGAGATTTCATAGAGTAGTATCTTCAGTGATATTGCATCAGATATTGGAGTTATCAATAATTCAATAACATTGATTCTTCTGGTGGGTATTTCCAAGTTTGCAACATTGTCAACAATTATAGTATTGCGGACGGGGATTTAATATATTAATTGTTTTCATTAGTTTATCTGTTTAGTTCTTGTAATGAATAAGTGTTCTATCCGATAATTTGTTCCATGGGTTAGCAATAAAAGGAGAGTGAAATGTAGACCTCACTTTGTACATTACTCTCATTTCCTTGTGCTTACAGTACTCTCGTCCTCTCTTACAGATATCATGCAGTCTCGTCTTGGGATCTGCCTATTTTAACGAGATGATGTGTGGGACAGCATCAGTTCATACCGCTCCCGTCGAAGTTTCGAGAATGCGTAAGTTAGAGAGGCATATAAGATCATTAGGAGATTGAGCTGCCTTATTGTTATTTGTGCGTAAGGTCGGTTTAGTGCTGGAAGTAAAGAAGTTTAGAAATTTTTACTGATCACTAAAAAACAGCTTTTTTATTAATTCACCTCTTCACAATTCTTATGGTTATTCCATCAAGTGTTTTATCTTTCTCATTAGCAGAGAAAAAAACTCATCGAATTATTTTGTGATTTAAATTCAACTATTTATAGATTCTCGTTGCAATGCTCTCGAAACTATTCTGCAGCTCTTCATCACTACAACTCTCCAACAATGTTGCTGTTGCTTTTCGTTATTTTTCGAAAACGACCTATAATTCTGCGCGATATGCTGGACGTCGAGTTGCTGAAGGAGTTAGTCATTGAACTGGAAATTGACTCATTGCAAAAAATTAAAAGTAAAAAAGAAACAATTCATCGTCACAAATAATTTGTTACTGCTAAATGCTAGATGTTATAGTGTTAGTGGGCGATTACGAGAAAGCTCATGTACGGGTTTTAGCTTGGTTTTTAAGCCACAGTTCTTGTGTCATTGTCGCTTTTTCAATAAATCAATAAATCCACCAATCCATGTTTCAATAAATCCATCCCTATTTTACGATGAATTGTTTCCTCATTGTTGTAATTTGCATCTCTTTCGTTCTCATAGCGTTCATTATCTCAGTAATTAATGTTATTATTCTCTTCAGAACTATGGTATTGGAAGTGCTACACGTACAACACTGAAAGAACGTCTTATGGGGCCTACTACAGGGAAACGTTTGTTTAAATTGTTCAATTTTAAAGTGTTATCATTCTTAAGATCACTTTTATTTGAATATTACCATTCTTAAGATTACTTTTTATTCTAGCTTATATGTATGGAAGTGCAGCTGTAGCTGGGGCATCATTATTTGGGATCGGTGCGTTATGCTATTACGGACTGGGTCTTTCGAAAGAAGGTCAGAGCATCTTAATACAGTCAGGGTTAGTTGTCTTTTTCTGCATTTTATTTGCTAATTATTTGAAATGTGTGGAATTTAAACGCGTATTTGCGCTTGCTTTTTAACCTTCTGTCGGCTTATTTTTTTTTACTTTATTCATTCCTATATCTTTTCATTTATCACAATTTTTTCTTATATTTATAGGAAAATCAACAAGAAACTTGCATTGACTTGCACTCCTCAAAATTTCTGAAAAAGCAACATAATTGTACTTTGTATAACTGTAATATGCCCTTTTTTGCTAAAAATCTCTGACGAATATATATTATTTGTAGATAGATATGTCTTTTTTTTGCTCAGAATTTAAAAATGAGATTTCTTATTTTTCCAAAATAGGAAAATTGTGTTAGTTGCTGAAAGAAAGGACTTGAAAGTTAAGAAAGCAGTTTTTATATGGCTTGAGTTAGTGTTTGTTTAGAACTTGGCCGACATATGTGCGCGACCGTATAAAGGCAACATACGGATATTTGTTTGCATCTCTTGGGATAACAGCAGCTGCAGCTGTGGCGGCATCAAGATCGTTTCAGATTTCGCGTTTGATAATGGGAGTAAGCTTCTCTTTATTTATTTTTCACCAGATATGATTTTTTTAAATTATTTACCTCTTTTACTTGAACTAAATAAACAGTCTCGTGGCATTTGCAGAATTTTTAGAATATTGTTACAAGCAAGTGATTAAGAAGAGTTTATTCTAAATAGTCGGTAATGCTAGTCTTGCGCAACAGTAGGTTAAATAACTAGCCGTTAATCTCGTGAAATGGTTTATTGCTACCGATAATTTATACAGTTAAAGTCTAGCGTACACATTAATATCATGGGGTATACATACTCCTCAAAAATTTTAGTTGTTACTTCTTGCATGATATGACTAGCGGACCAGATCGGTCTCGTGATAGCCTGGAAAAAATCTAATTTGGAGAATTAGAGGTTTCTGAAACTCAGTTATTTACATGCAGAATTATTAAGCACTTCTTTATATTGGCTTAGGTACTTTTAATAATAATATCACTTGTCAAGCAACAAGAAAATAACATAGAATATAAGAAGAATAAATCTGCAAAATGAGTAAAGTGGCTAATAAGATTGGATTGATTTGGGGAAAATAAATTTATCCGTTTCTTATTCACTTACAACTTTTTGAATTTAGTCGCCATTCATTTCAATGGCAGTTGTAATGGCAAGCAGTATTGGGGCATCATTAATCGACTACGATAATACATTACTGAAACATGCAGCTTGGATTCTGCATGCAGGCTTGATGGGTGCGTTTATAGGACCAATCTGTTTGATGGGTGGGCCCTTAGCTGTGCGAGCTGCTTGGTATACTGTGGCTATCGTCACAGGTAATTTTTTTTTAATTTATAAACTTTTTTTTAAAAGTAGAACTGAAATACATCAAAGTTGCGCATCTTATAACTAATTTTGATTGTGTTGGTTAGCAATTGCTCCTAATTTTACACAACTGTGCGAGTAGATTAAAAGAATATTATGGTCACGTTCTTCATTTTACAACATTGCGTTACTGATAAATAATCAATATTATTATTACAATTTAAGTACTAAGACATTGCATTTTTATAGAATTCTTAATTAGGAGCAATTGAGCAATTTTACTTAATTATTTTTATCAAACCACATATGAAAGATATTAAATCTAAAATTTTCAGGGCTGTCAACAATTGCTTTCACAGCACCTTCTGAAAAGTTTCTGATGATGGGAGGCGCGTTGGCTATGGCACTTGGTGTTGTTTTTGCATCATCTATTGGAACTTTCTTTCTTCCTCCAACATCTGCATTGGGTGCAAGTATGATTTATAGATTAGTTTTATGAAGTTAACTTTTATGGCTAAAATAAAACAAGAAATCTTCGATCACTTTCAAGTGACATTCAGTTTACTTCGAGTTAAGAAAAATTGATATTTTTAGGTCTAATGTCGATCTCTCTTTATGGCGGTTTGATTCTATTTTCACTGTTTTTATTGTTTGACACACAGTTTGTTATCAAACGGGCACGAATGTACCCGATTTCGGATACAAGCGAAGAACAAATCTACAAGCCGGGATATTACGGCAGTATTGGTGCTGGGTACAGTGCTGCACCAAAAATGCGTCGATTTGATCCGATCAATGCGTAAGTTTGTTTCGTGGTCTTCCGTTTCAGAACGTTGGAGGTCATTACCATTACTAGTATCTATAATTTTTTTTAAAATTTATAAACTTTTTTTAAAAGTAGAACTGTATTTTAAAAAAGCTTTAAATAAAAATAAAATACATCAAAGTTGCGCATCTTATAACTAATTTTGATTGTGTTGGTTAGCAATTGCTCCTAATTTTACACAACTGTGCGAGTAGATTAAAAGAATCATTTTACAACATTTAAGAGTAATAAATAAATGCAAAACTTAGAGATTAGAGAGCAATAATAAATGCAAAACGCATGTTTTTTTCTTTTGTCTTAGACTTAAGAACCAGGCATAAGTTAAAATCGATTTTTCGAGTGTCACTATACATCAAATTTTAGACAATTGTCCATTTACGCAGATGTTTTGAACATTTTCATTCGGCTGGTAACAATGATGACGGGCATGCAGGGTGGCAGAAAACGATAATTGGCATGTTTTACACATACTGACAGTATTCCATTCTATCACTGGTAAAATATCATCCAGTAACATATATCTGTAAAATCTGTGATGACGAAAATATCAATTTTTGAATGGTAGTTATATTTCGATAAAAATTTTGCAGAAATTCATTCTCTGTAACTTTATTTCTGAGCTGTCATATTTCCCGATTTTTATCTTTATGTTTTGAAATATGGCATATTTTGGTCATTCTCTTGTTGATATAAAACTGCAGAAATACTCACTGACTATGTATACAGTGAAATGAGGTTTCCGCAGTACACAATCTTTTCTAAGATATGCTTGATTTTCTTGAAAATTCAATTTCTTTTCCAAATAGTAGTGGTCGATTCCGATCTTCATTATGAAATGTTATGGAGAAAAATAATAAAGTTTTTTTTATAAGAACAAATATTGATGATGTATAAATAAACGGTAACAAAATGTAAAAGATCGTAATCGTGCTGAAATATATGCATAAAATTATTTGAATGATGATGTGAAGCGCTATTAAATTATGCATTATGAAAGCAAGTAATAATATTGAAATGTACGCAGCCAGCCATAAAAATTTTTTCTCAAAAAATTAGCAGAAATTTTGCTTTAAAAACTATCGAGGGGGACAGAATGCATAAACAGATCCATGAAATCATTCTGGAAAAAAAGATTAGAGAGGAAAGGTTTCGTAAGACCTTACATAAGTCGACATGTGGAGCATACAATATACTCTGGTCTTCATAGAAGTTCGGTGATATCCTTTTTAAAATTCTCGACTGGGTTTAGACTTTATGTTTGGCATTTATTTTTTCTATTCATCCAATGTGAATGTGTTTTGAAAAAGAAAAATTTGAGGAAACTGTGTTCATACAACTAAACAACCAAAGTAAGTATTGCATTATATTAAAATGCTTCTTCTTCCAGTGTTGTCCTTCCATTCTCTCATGCGTTTATTAATTTTGCTTTATTTTACTGAACTTTCTGAGAGTTATACCTTGCGAGTGATATAATTTTGAATATTCTGATGCAATTTTTTCTCATCCATGTAAACCTATCCTGCGATTTGCATCTCATCCATAAATAGTGCTGTTGACTTTAGATATCTAATTTTGAATTTTTCATGATATAATTTGCAGAATCTTAGACATGGTGCTATGGATGATAAGAAACCGAAGATAGAGCTGAATTGAAGATTAAAAGAATGAATGATAGAAGAGTTCACATGCTTTTCATGCTTCAATCTGACATTTAGCCTATATTTACTTCGGTTATCAATAACTATTAAGTATGCAGAAAGTTCTACAAAATGAGGAAAATAACTATGAGAGAATATAAGGGAATGTTTGACGATCCACGAGAGTTATTAATACAAAAAGATGAAAATTGTGGCAAAAAAACTTCATTTTTAAATTTAGTGTTAAGTTGATACAATCACTTGCATTTCGCTCACAAAAAAATCTTTGTTCATAATTTTAAATTTAACAAAGTGAAATACAGTGACTCCATTGCATCAAAGAAATTCAGCATCAGTTGAAAAAATTTGTAACTTTTCTCTCAAAATAATAAACGACAATGAAATAGCAGCCCTTTTTATTAGAATGCTTAGATAAATTTCTTAATACATTTTAACGAAAAAAAACATGCAAATGAGGAAGTAGATTATTTCAAAATATATCAAATTTTCAAGCTATTTCAAGCTTGCAAGTTACGATTGTTTTGAAATAAAACTTCTATACATGTATGTTTATTTATTATTACTTTTAATGATGTGGATAGAAAAATTGAATTTGATAATTAATAAGTGTAAAATAAATAAGACTGCTTCAAAAAAAGAAAAACATAATCTTTTTTTCTTCCAACCACATTAATGCAGAAAAGGAGGATTGGTTGAAAATAAACAAAAATCAAAGGAAAATCCAAAATTTTCATATTTGCAAAACACGTATTGAAATCATTCTTATATATCAAAAAAAATCATCCTTTTGCACTTCTGCGCAAATACTTTGCAATTTGTTTGATGGCTACTTTAACATTGACATATTAACGTAAGCTATAATTTTCCATTTAAATGAATTCAAATATTCATTTATTACAGGCGACAACAAGTGGGCAAACGATATAGCCTAATTCTAGTAAGACGCTCAGCAAACAAAACATTACATAGGCAATAATCATTACCATTCCGAAAATTTTATTCATTTCCCATCGACAAATTTTCATAGCAACTATTAAAATAATTAGCATTAGAAATAGAAGACCAACAGAGCAAATAAGACCTTTTGATATGACCGGTACAGTACCCAGGTAGGAAACTGAGAATGAATTTGTCAGCAAACGAATTGCAAATTGTAGTAACCACGGAATTGGCAACCTTCAATTATGCAATTTTAAATGCTTTTCTTTTTTGAGAAATATATATTTCATTTCAGTTAAATAATCATTTTTATAACAAAAATATAAACGTACCCAACACAAATATCAAAAAGATTACTTCCAATGGAGCTTGACACAGCCATGTCACCAAATCCTTTACGAGCAACAATTACACTGAAATGATTTGTATTTATTTAGATAAGATTAATTCCATCTTAACAATCTCTTAATTTATACATTAAGATATCTGATAAGTGTGGACCATTACTTGATAGTAAAAAAAAACAAAAATTTGAAAAAATTTTATGATTAATGAACATCGAGAAGTGCATTCAACTTCAAACAAATTCTCTATCCTATTCAAAAAAAGTGTTGCACATATGGATAGAATATGAATGATGACCGGCAATATTTTCTGATTAAATTAAATATTTTTCAAAAAAAATAATAATAAAGCAGATTAGCAGTTAACCTAGTAATGAGATCAGGTATGCTTGTACCAGCAGCTAACACTGTCAAACCCATTATCTGAAAGTAAAACTTTGCAAACTTCTTTTGTTTGCTTACAACTATCAGTTTTTTGAATTCAAAAATGAGAATAAAAATTATTCATTTTAACAAGTTTTACATGAAATAACTAGCAGAAATCAATGCAGTAGGTAGGAATATATCGTTGAAAATATTTTTGACCATAGGGATTGAGAAGAAAGGATTTATTCAAAACTGTAAAATTTACCAGCTAGTCATTTCTTTTGGTCATTCGATATTTAACAATTTTAGCCGACAAAAAAAGATCCATAATGCAATCAATCAATAAATTATTCATTTCATTTTAATCCTCACGTTACTTGGATAAGTTTTTTTGGAATACATTCTAAGTTGGAAATGTTTGAACAAAACAAATCATCATGTCTTATCACTGAGCAGAATGATTTTGAGAAAAGCCACGGAAAATTTTTGGATTATGACACACATAGAAGTTATTATCAGATTTAATTACAAAAATTATGAGGATAAAATGAAATGAATATCATATTAATGCATTAATAAATTAATTATTACTGGCGCAGATAGCATGTTACAATATTACAAGGAATCATTCGTATTTATTTGCAAGTAAAAATAATTCATTATAAATTACAACGCGATATTAATATGCTACCGTGATTTTAATTTTTGAAAGAGCAAATTTACCTCATCCGGTATAGCTAATGTTTCACCGATTACCTTTGCCCACCAAATCATCAGATATGAGAAAAAAGCAATCCATAAAATTGAACCCATGAAAGTTATTGCAAAATATTTCCTGCTTGACTGAAAATAGTGAAATCGATCAGAATGTAAGCTCAAGATTTTTGCATACTATTGTATAAGTCAAAAAAAAAAAAACAAAACGAAAACAAATGAGTACAAAGTCTTACCTATTCTAAAAATCAGCATCTTCTCAAGGAATCTTTAGAACGGAAGACGGCAAATTACGTTTGCCTCGATAATCACTCTTCGTACATCGCGAGAAATCTCACATAATCATCTTTTTTTTGGTGCATCCCGAGAAATCTCACAACTTCTACTACTCTTCCTACTCATTTATTCTTTTATATTTTTCTTTTTCGCCAAATTAACTTACTGAATTTTTCGAATCGGGAAGTGTATAATAAAGTGGAAGCATAATTGGTGCTAAAAAGAGATAGGATAATCGTGCTTTAGTAGAAGATGGCCAAGAGATGTTGATTGGTACTTCCACTTCGTTGTTGCTTTCTTTCAGTGCCATCTCCTTCTGAACAGTCAGAAATTTTTAACTGAATTATGACAAATTAATATTTTTGCTAAAATTTACCAAAATAAAAGTTTAAAGATAAATTGATTCATTTTTACTTCCTCTGTTGCATTTTCTGTTTGCGATATCAGTATGTTATCGACTTTTTTTTCTAGATTTTAAATATCTTGATTTCTTTTAAAAATTTGAATACAATAATAAAGTTATATCTTAGCTTTCTGGGTGAAAATGAAAATAATAAATATATTCACCTTATATATGTGATTTTTTTCAGAACTTGTGGGATTTCGATAAGCAATTTGACTATTTGTTTGATTCATCAATGTCATTGTTGATCCGGGAAGCTGAAATTCGTGCAACACTTGAAACATTTTCGTATTTTACAATTGTTAAATGATTCTAATTAAAAATGTTTTTTTTTTCTCAATAAGCTGCTTTATCAGCCTATCACATCATTCATAATAAACCACTAGTTTCTAAATGTTAATTGCACAGGGCAAACAATATTCTTCAACTTGCCTCAATTTCAGACATAACATTGGGAATGTTGTTTTGACAATTTTTTTGTGTCATATCATTTAATATTGCTGTTGATGTTTTAATGAATTCATTTGAATCTAAAAAGTAATTTTTTAAGAATCGATGATTTGAATATATCATGATTTGAATTAAATTTATTAGTACATTGAAAGATGAAAATAGCATTTCACCGTCAGAAAATTTTTTATTTTTGTGTCGTTTTCTGTTAAACAAAAAAATGAATTTTAAATGCATATTAATTAATGCAATGAATGCCAACCATCAATTATAATTATGGTTTTTGAAACAATAAATTTATGCTAAAATTCACAAGTTAGCACCTTTTACTGGATAGGAAATCTTTTCAATTTTATTTTGCACCGAAATTGACTTCTGCTTTGCAGCAGTGAATGATGATGGTATCACTTCTTGCACTGATGTATTATTCAAAATTGATGGGCATAAATGCTGGAAACGAAGCGGAAAGAATGATTACAAAAATCAAGAGGGAAAGTTCAAATCCATCATAATATCAATTTATTAATTTTGAAGAATAGGTAAAAGATTGAATAATAATGTAATAAATTTTGACTTGAAATCAAAACTTTAATCGAAAACATAGCCCATAGCAAACAAATATCGACCTGAATAATTTTATGCTGAATAAATTTGAAATTTTTCTCCAGCTTCTCATTATGACTCATAGCAACAGCATAAATGATATAAATAATGAAAAGTGATATCGCTTCATACCACTGAATCTTTTCGTCCAGGAAAAATAATACCAACAAAGACAATGCTAACATATAGAAAAAAATATCTCTAAAATAATTAATGAAATTGAAAATTTAAAGTAGCATTTTAGGCAGATGTTATTATTTAATAATGGTCAACATTTCAGATGAATCCAAATAATTATTTAAAGAAGTTGATAAATTTCTAATATTTGTGTCAAACTTTATAAGGCTTTCTTTCTTAGGCATAAATATGGCATAAATATGTGACATACCTGAACACGGGCCACCAAGTAATTTTAAGTATTTTCAGGGAAAAAAATGTACAGAATGCCAATACACATAAAATATTGAATGTAGCACTACCTTAAATGTTTTAATTTCTTTCCATTTAATAAATTTAGAATTTGTTCGAAGCTGAATGAATTTGAAATGAGATTATATGAAGAGTTCAAAAAATTGGAATATGAACGAATAAGAGGAAGAAGAGAAACAAAGAATTGGTGCGTCAGCTAAGATTTCAAAATTGTTTAACCTATTACATTCTGGACGAAGAACTGATTTGTTAAAAATTATTCAGAATTTGGGAAGCGAAATTAATCTCACCAACAATAGTCCCAATGCCAACATTATTTTGAGTAATAAAAACGCCAAATAAACTGGCAAAAAATTCAGGTGCCGAACCACCGGCTGCCATAAATGTGGCTCCAGCAACATCGTTCGATATTGACAGCTATAACGATCAATTAATCCATCACTGTGATGATCATCTGGGAAATCAACTCAGTACGATAGGAATAGAAATGAGCCAAATTTGTTGGAAACTTTGTGAATTACAAAAAAACAAGTCATCATCATAATATTTCTTGATTTATTTACATTTTTAGATTCTCAACAGGTTGGTTTTATTCTTCACACTTCAACTTTTAATTGATTACTCAAGATTTTTAATTGAATCATATATTCTTTCTATTTCTGGTCAGATTGTGTATTTCAAATAAAAAAACCCGTCATAATTGGTTAAATTTTATGATCATTTCCTTTATCTTAAATAAATGAATGAGAAAGATATAAAAATAATTTAGAAGTTAAGAAACAATAGGACTTTTCTTTTTGATTTTCGTAATTTGCACGAGTTTGAAAATTTTTTTAATAAATTTTCATACCTTTCCTATAATAATGCTAAGTGAAGGGATGAAAAATTTATCGGAAACGAGAGATATTGCTATAAACATATAAATGAGACCAAAAAAGTGCAGAAGTAGTGCTCCACGACGACGTTGCTCTATTGTAAAATAATCTTCTGGGAAAAAACTGGAAATTAAATCTGGAAATTAAATTACAGTTTTCTAATGTTAACCATTAAAGTGGAATTTAAAGCATTTAATGTAATAACAAAAATTAACCAATGGCAGTTGAATGAAAGCAGCGATCAGTGCTTGTTACAGCAAGTAGTTGACGAAATTTGAACATCCGAACACGAGGCAAATTCTTCGAAACCAATAATTTATGATTACTTCTTGAAGAAATGATAATTTCATACCAACTAATACTTTTATTTTTCGGTTCAAGCAATCTAAATTCGAAATTTTAGAATAAGCTTTAAGGAAGAAAGAGATGATATAATAATCTTTAATCAACAGCATGTCCAAAATTTTCAAAAAAGAAAGAAATCATTTTGAGAAGAATAGATTTTTTAATTTTTCATTGAAAAAAATCAGATTCTGAAATCTGGATATGCATTTCAAATAAAATCTTGTTGAAAGTTAAAAAATCTTCCAGAATCAATACTTTAAAACAAAACTTTGAATTAACCAGATTTAAGCAATCAGAGTTGAGGCTTTTGATATAAAATACATTAAAATGTTTGGTTTATGTTGCATGCGTTAACCAGGCCTCACTCTTTACCTATCAGCACATTACCTTAGGCTTCCCTTCCTCTTATCATTTGTTCTGACTTCCATATCAAACGAATATTTGTCAACCAGTTGTTGTTCTTTCGCACTTGATGCATCATACGTCGCATAAATATGTGAGACGGTGTAAAAAGAGGCGAGCAAAATTAGCAAAATACAGATTGAATAGAATAAAGATGCTGATAAACGACTGTTATTACGCAAATGTTTCATGGAGTATATGTAAAACTTCAATTTTAAAACTTAAAATGACATCATGTCTGCAATATTGGTTAGCAACGGAAAAGAAAAATTGTCACCAACAGTGATCGCTTTATTGCATACAAATGCAGCGAGTAAGATCTCAAATGAAGAAGAATTAAGAAATTTAGTAATTTAATCTCTCAACGGATTTTCAAAAAATTTTTTTGTTCAATTTTACTAATTTTGATGCTATACACTTTTTCCTATGCCATCTTTTTCCAAACACTTTTTTTACTTAAACTCATCAAACTATTTTACGAATCAACTTATTTGCTTCTAATTTCATTGCCTAATGCAAGTCCTTTTTTTCTTTTTTGATCTTTATTCATACATTTTTTTCATCACAATTTGATCATTGTTAGTGTAAGGGGAAATCTGTATCCCTTGCAAAATTCGAAACGGAAATCATTTATTGTGGAATTGATTGCATGAAAAGCAAAAAAAAAAACTAATCTCTTGTAATCCTTTTATTTCTCAAATATGCAAACTTTTATTTTAATAAAATTTGGAAAAACTTTAGTTTTAGTAAGTTTAAAAGAATATATAGTTCAAATTTTAGTCTATTTATTCATAATTCACTTAATTTGACAAAGTTTATTCTTGATCTAAAAATTCAAATTTACTCTATGAGCGCTTTTAGCAATGAAAAGCAAATTTAAACGTTAAAGTAATTGCAGTCAGTAAGAAAGCAAAGAAGATGATCATGTCAAAAAATATGCAAATAGAATAGCTTTTTAAAAAATTTTTTGAGCAATAAGAAGTTATAATTGACCAACTCTCATTATGCGCATCGAATCAAACAAATTGAATGCTCGACATCGAAACACAAAAAGTTTTGAATTAGATCTCGAATTTCAAATTTGCGACTTCAAATGAGGAAAGTAAGCTATTTCTAAAAATATATTTTTTTGCGTTTAGGTTTAAACAGCTAATTTAAACACTCAAGCTTGCAAAATATTGAGATAGATGTGGCATTTTGCTCAAATTATATTATTCGTCATTTTCTTTAATTTTGAACGAATCTAAAAAAGGTCAAGAAATTTATGAAGTTTAAGAAAAAATTTCAAATTGTTGGATTACAAAATCGAATAATTCAGAGAAAGAGCTACAAATGATAAATGTTTTTGGAATAAAAATATACTAGAAAATGTTCCAAAAATTCTGAACATATTTATGAATAAAGATAATTCCGTTTGTTATTTCAGCTACTATTATTGGTAATGATGATGATAATGGTTAGTTAATATGAAGCGACAAACTTTGTTAAGATTCTAATCAACGTAAGTGCTACTGCAAAGCAGATGCAAATATCACCTTGCTAATTAGCCAACTTGTCATAAATGATATCTCTCTTTCTGTTTAACGCTCACCTACTCTGAATTTCAACTAACTCTCGCTGATGCAGATATAACTTTAAAACAGAAAGGTGGTAAGGAAAGAAAAATGTCAATAATAATTTATCTGAGAATTGCTTCATCAGGTTGCTAGCTTTGTTAAGACATCTGAAGCTTTTGGAATGGCTATCTGCTGATACAAAAAGGTAATTTCGAGAATAAAGCAAACTTTCCTTCAGCGCATTTCCGGCAATCTTTTATTAATAAATGAATCTTTTAAAAAATATTCCAAAAAAATTCAATTTGCAAGCCACAAAATCTCGTAGCAAATTGTTTGTCAATGAATGGCTTAGCAATAAATCAAAACTTGGCTTGCAATACACGCAAATCATTTATGCCTACAAATTGTTTATAAAAATAGCAAAATTAAGTTTTTTTTTTACATGTCTATTGCATCACTTAAGAAATGAAATAAATTAATCAACCAAAATTATATTGACAAGTTTGAAAAAAATAGATTGCATGAAAACAGAAAGTGTTAAATAAGTTTATTAAATAAACAACACTGGCAGAGCTATATAGATTTTAAATAGGCTATAAGTGAGCTAAGAAGAGAGCCTGAAATGACTGAAATCATATTATGACTGAAATAGTTAATATAAATGAGTTAGTGTGATTTAATTAGATTTAAAAGATCGCTAATAGCTATCTATGTTTGGCTGCTTAGAGAAATAGCTTTCATTAAAGTAGCACCTGGCGGAAATGAGTAACAGAATTGTGGAACATTTTGCTGACTAGCAGAATCCGCCATTGATTCAAGCAGTCATTGAGAAACACCAAAGTGGATGTTCCGGAGAAGATGGAAATCATCGCTGTAGTACTAATCGACATGACACTCAGCAACTATCTCTCTTCAAAGCACAGTAACCGATCTATTTTATTAAATAGTCAACCTTTTTAGTTCCTTTGTCATCCTGTCTTTCTAATGAAGATGTTTAAGATGTAAAGTGTTCATCTATTTTAAGTCTCACTTTTTCTATATCTGTTGAGAAGCCAATTGGAAAATTATGACATCCAATCGTTACAATTTAAAAAGAACAAAAAGCAAATTAAATAGAGAACATGAATTTATATTTGAATAGTGCTAATTCTAAAAAAAGCTGATAAAAAAAGTGAAATACAATTCATCCATTTTGATCTAGCATGGATGAATCAAAAATATTGATTGGGATCAAAGTTAATTGAACTTGCCAAAATTAAAAAAGCCGCTTGATATTTTTACATGGAAATTTTTTTATGTAATAAATTTTATTAGTATAAATTCATGCTAAGATCTTTCGATTCAATATGAGTGCTATATTGTTCAGTTGTAAAATCACTTATGGAAGTTCATTTTGATTTTCATCTAGAAATTTTAAAATAAATTCAATTAAGGAATTAATTTCATTGATTTCTGTGCAAAGAATTATATTATCCATGCATGAATGAGAAATTATGTTGAAGATGTGAAATTTTTTCCCATTTTGTTATGTTTATTGCATATGATTGATAACGGAAAACGATATAAAGAATAGTATTATTTTTAATTTTCCCGAATAAGATAATAACTTGTAAACATCTCCGTGCGTTTTATTTTTTGAAAAGCTCAACTAATACGTGTTTTCGTTTTATTGCATGAGTTTTTAGATGAAGTAATAATTATGTGTTTATGAGTTTAATGCACAGTTCCCAAAAATTTATTTATTATGTTATTGTCCGACTTCAATGATGTAATAACATTAATATCACAAAAAAGAAATAATTAATTAAATCTGAAAATGATATAAGCTATGTAAATCACGTCTGAGTTCTACTTTTCGAATATACATAAATTATTTTTAAATGTTATTTTTTGATATCGTTCGTTATAAGGTAGCCATGGGGAGAAGAGCGAAGAATTTCAATTTGATGCTTTCAGGAAAGTAATTCATTTTAAGTCCTTGCGGCACCTTATGGGAGTGAATGAATTAAGCATTTAAACGATGGCCTTTCATAACAGTTAAACAATATTCCTGAAAATTTGTTGAAACTTAATAAATAGTAAGCGAGATATATGCATAATCCGGATCATTTTAATGATTTGTCAATTATATGCAAGGCTCAAAAAAAAAGAAGCATTAATCTCTCTATTTATAAAAAACGATAAGCAATTGGACTTTCCTTTCTAATTTACACCTACCACTTAACGATTTACAGTAAAATCCGTAACGGTTAATATGAAGTTTATCGTAAGTCCGTATTGACCTGAATTCTTACTAAATAATAAATTGACGATTGCAGGTTCAGTGTGTGAGTGTGATCACTAACTCTATTGATTGCAGACAACCAAAATGATGGCATATTAAATGAATCAATAAAAAGCAAATTTCAATTAGCATTAGCTGACGGTTAATATAAATTAAGATTCTTAATCTAATTTCCTCAAACAAATAATTAGTGGCAGCCAAAATGAAGTTATATTAATCAGTGATTTGTAGCGATGACTATAATGAAAAAAATGTTAAAAGCTGTTAACTGAAAGACAGGATGACAAAGGAACTAACTGAATTCAAATTATTAAATTCAAATGCTAGGAAATAACGGAATACTTTCATTCCATCGCTTCCATTTTAAATGGCAGTAAAGTATTTGAAAGCAACATATTTTGTGAGTGATATAATCTAAAAAAAGGTGAAATGGGCATGTTTTATGGAAAACAATAATTTGAAACATTTTCAATTTTTCTTTTTCGAAAATTTTCATTCTTTATTGAAAGAAATAGGATCATTTCGTCATTACTTTTAATGTTCTGTAAAACACCTTCAAAAGATGACATTTCTAACACATAACATCGTCCTTAGCATCATTTTAATCGAGTAATAAGCAAGAATTTCCACTGAGATTCATCTGATCTTACTTCATTCCACCGTCCAATCGGAGATAATTTCAAAATAATATAATTTTCGAAGCCTGATTTGAAGCAGTTCAAACCTTCAAGCATACTCATCAGCTTTCAGCAATATTTCTTGTTCACTTCCTCAATGCCATCTTCAGCTTATTCCGAGGTCTTTTTTCCTTATCGCGCATGACAATCTACAATTTTCAACTAAAAAAGAGAGGAAAGAAAAGAATACAAAAACATCATTAAATTCATAAATTTACAGTGTATTAGAGAAGAAGTATGGATTGTGAAATAAGCAAAGTTTTGAACTAACAAAGTTGCAAATCAAATCAAAATTATTGTCTTTTCTTTATTTTTTGAATCGAAAACACTTTTCCTAAATCAATCTCACATCCGTATCGCATTTTTTGCCTTACTTCAACTCTTTGTAATCGCTTTTCTTTTTTTTTCATTGCAATGTTATGTTATTTAATTTTTTTAAATACTTTTTCTGGCGAACAATCATAAAATATAGGAAAAAAGCACACCCTTCAAAGAATCAATAAGCAACCTTTAAAGAATCAATAAATGAGAATTAAATCATTTTAAATATTGAGAGAATTTTAAGAGGTAATATTAGCATAACAAGCCAGCTTGATATGTCAAAATGAAGCGAAAAAAATTGATTTGCAGAACGCAACATCATCTTTCCTTTAAATTTGTATTTGCAAAATTTTGTGCTTTAACTTCAAAATCTTTCGGAAGGTAAATAAACTTCTGATTGGAATTAAGAAAAATGAAGAAATCATGTTCGCTTGGTAATATAAAGTGGCCTGATTTTTTTACGAAAATAACGAAACTTTAAGTACAGTTTAAAAACAAAACATTCAGTTCGACATCAAAGTTTTTCTATGATCTTACTCGTTAAAAAATGCAACTTTTCAACAGAATTATTTTCTGTTCAATCAGGATGAATTTGGTACTTCTTATTGTCATTTTATTCATTCTTTTTTATAAATTCAACAGAGCAAGCACGCCTGTAAAGTTTCCACTATTTTCTCATGCATGAAGAGAATTATGGTTTTCATTTCCGCCCCGAGAGTCACACAAACTACATCATCGTTATCCAACAAGACCAGATAAATTTAGCAATCCACATATAAACCCACGATTTGGAAATGGTTTGCTACAATATATTGCATATCGCTGGATAACTAGAATAATGCTATGTTGCTAACCACTACGAACTCTCTGATCCCACTCGATTTCTGTTCGAAGTGTGGAGTAACCTCGTGGAGAAATGTGAGATGGGAGCTTTTTAAAACCTCTTCACTTTCGCCAGATAATTTAGTTATACTTAGTTATGGGCTCTTGCAATGTTACTCTTCCACTACAACTTTCTGATCATGATAAGATGTCGAGGACAGGTTCTATCACATAGTAATACTTTATAGAGAGAATAAGCAAGACCAAATTTCTTGACAATAACTGCAACAATAACAACAATAATAGTAATAATAAATCAATTAAAAGTGAATTAATCATACATTCCTAGGTACTTAAATTTCACTAAAATCTAAATATACTTTAAAACCATACGAAAAATACTTTTACTTGTTTATTTATTTATTCGGATAGAATAAATGGGTCGTATTCTTAAAATTTTTTAACTGTGAACATTAAATACTTTTGTGGCAATAATACCAGGTAACTTGTAAACAGTTGAAACTATGAGAACCACGCCAATCAGGATAACTAAAGTTATGATAATGCATTGTTTACCCCAACTGGTCCAACACAATGAACAGCATGCTTTAGCTCGTGAAAGGCACCAGAACTGATCCAGACGAGGGCGATTCGGCTCCGGAAGATATGGTGACTGAAAATAAAAAACATTAATGGAACTTGATGTAATTTTACCACTGGTAGTGTGATTGCAGTTTAAAGAATAATAGAATTTGGGATATTAAGTGTCCGTAATATAAGTTTCAGAAAATTGGAATATTTCCTCTCCGTTGGTATATTGAATAGAGAAGCAATTTTCAATTTCTTGAAACTTACAACCAACATAATTTAATAATTTCAAGAAATGCAGTTTTATGAAATAGTTTCGTGATTATACAATCATAAAAAGATTTACATGATTTGGTTTTCCTCGTTTCCTTCCGACAGGATCAAGTTTTGCTTCTTTAGCTGTTAACAATGTCAATTCTAGTTCTACTGCACCGGTCACATATGGCTTTTGGGCAGTGAAATCATCGTCTTTTTTTTTCTTCGCATCAAAATCTAATTTCTGTGAATAAATTGAAATAAACACAAAAGTTATTCAATACACGAATTACCACTGGAGTGAGAATAAGGAAAAGAAAAAATAATAACCTGTTCGTCGGATAGAGAAGTACTAATGCATGGCCACCATCCATAAGCTGTACGCTGTCGAAATAACGAGAACTGACCAACTCTTCCCGATATATACGGCTGCAAATTTATTCCTTCACAATTTAAAATAAAAAATACGTCTTCAGCTGGAAATCAACACTAACACAAATCTGTGATGTTTTTCTTTCCTGGAAAATATCTGTAAAATAAACTCAGAAGAGAAGAAGCGATACATACCGGTGCTCGTGGTAATGGAATAATTTTCTTTTTTCGCTCTTGTTTTCTGATATTACAAAGACAAGAACAGCATTTGACGCAGGAACCACATCGATTGCGCTTTTCTCGAGCATAATCAACATTATACATTTCATCAGCATCCATTTGTGCCTCTAAATTATACTTTTATGTCGAATACATGTTTTCCCAACAATAGATGCTCCATTCTTTTTGATTCATTCTGATTCACTCCAATAATTATAAATTGAGTGTATGAAAAAAGTAAACTATTCTCAAACTGTGGCTTTTTCCTTTTTCTGGAATTTTTAAATCAAAAACACTTTAAAAAGAAGACTATTTATCTAATGAAGAATTCTAGAGAATGCTAAATTTCATTTTGTATTTAAATAGAACTAAAGTATATAATTGGGAATTATATTTTCTCAAATGCAAAAACGTCATTACCGTCGAAAGAAAGCAAGTCCAAAGCAAGTTGTCCGATATAGCCATCTTTTCGGAATTTGTTGTTGTCCCAGATTTGCACGAACAATATTGGATCCACCAATAATAACGATTTCTTGCTAGATTGTAAGTGTAAAAATAAGAGAATAAATCCAGAATAAGTTAGAGAACTATAAAAGATAGTCTTATTTCATCAGAATATCCTCTAACGATAAAAGAGCGAATAGTAATAAAGGATTCTTTTGAAAAAAAAAACCTAAGGAGATGTTTTTTGATGTATATCGCGATTTTCTTCTCCCAAATATCGAAATCGAAATCAAGTACGAAGCGCCAATTGAATGAACCATATCCATCAAGACTTCGATAATGAACATCAGTTTTCTCCTTTTTACTACTTCCATTCAAAAAAACCTTCAAATAGATATCTGCTGCCTGAAATAATGTCAAATACTAAATTATAACAACTATTACACAATCTTAGCACATATTAATTTAAGGGAAAAATTCTAAGGGAAAGTGTTGAAGTTAAGGTTAGACTATTTCATACTGTCTTGAATTATCACTTAAAAGTACCGGTTTTCCCATTGTTCTCTTGGTAAGAATTACATTACGAACACTCCAAGCTGCTACACGTAGCTGAAATGCGTGAGGTCGACGAGGCGATATATTAAGAGGTGGCGGTATTGGCCCTACTACGTGTGGGAATAAATCGACAAACATTTCCAATCTACCACATTCGCTATCCGCATTAATAGCACTATAGAGCGGTCGAGTTTCCACATGTTCTGGTACCAAATTCATCTAAACGAATACTCAGTTAATTTCCATCTGTCTAATCGAATTTTTAAACGATTTTTTAAATAAAAAACAAGCCTTGGTTAAAATATAAAGCGCAACTCGTTGCAATGGTCGGCCTAAAATTTCCACATGACTTGGAGGAACATTTTCAATATCACTAAGCCATACCGCCACTCCAGCCATCATTATTCCAACATCATTTCCCTTCACTAACACTTCTGGTGCGGGATAATTCATCTTTATACAATGCCTGAACAATCAAATAATATGAAAGATAGAACGAATAACCTTTGTCATATCTCAGCCTTTCTTTAAAACATTATTCATTTAAATTGACTTGAGAAAATAATTCTGAAATGACAGGAAAAAAACTGAAAGATCATACTAAAAAACTGATTCAGATATTTAAATTTACTAAAACAACTACATATTAATTGTTAATTTAAATTGATGGAATAGTGAGCCATCCTTTATCATGCTTTCATTACATCATTCGTACTATGAGCTGGCAATTTACAGAAGTAATAGCAACTGTTTAAGGATTTGTGATAAATTGAGTATAATATATATTAACCGCTTTAATATACTAAGAGGTGTAAGTTGATCACGCCAAACGAGTGGTCCATGTATTGTATATTGTTGCGATAAACCAACGGTAGCGCGATATTGTGTCAAAAGACGATTTTCCAAGTCAATTATTGTATGACCAATTTCATTATCTACAACAAAATTTGCAACAATATTATTTCCTATTTTTATCTTTAAATCATTCAGTTTATTTTATTTAAAGTTTAAGCTTTTTTCAAACTTTTTGGGATATTTCTTAATCAAAATTTTTCCTTATCCACATAATGGATGATTGTGAACTTTTAGAAGTGAAATCAATTCTACAGAAAGATACCAGAAAAGATACGATGACGATCCATTACTGATACAACAAGATTTTTATCCATTGGTATTTCCACTTCCATTTCGATCATTTGGCCAAACAATGGGTTCAATGAACTTGGCCGATAATCTTTTCGTAAAGTTTTTTTCTTTTTTGTGCCACATCTACATCTTTTCAAAGTAATTTTTCTTAACCATTTCACAGTCCATAAAAGACACAACAATTCTTTTCAAAGAGATATGAAAAAATGAAAAATCAACGATTCCTAAGCTATTTATCAAATCTGAAATCAATCATTCTGATGATTCACATGATTCATTACTGCCATAAATTTTTTATTCAAACATAGTTCATTCTAATTGTTGATTTTTGACATTCTTTTTCTGAAATTGTTAAAATTATTAATCTCAGTAACTTTTTTTGAAAAGACTAAATTTTCCGACTATCTTTACGATCAAAGTTCAAAACATGAAAATAAAATTGACTTGACACTAATGTAAGCATCACAGGTACCATCATTTCGTCTGCTGATCAAATCGAAGGCTCTCACAATGTATACGCGAATGGTACATTTGGTCACTCCAGGAAATTCGACAATTGGCAAAGCAAAACACTCTGCAAAGGAGCGAAATTAACTTTCCAAAGCAGAAATAATGAATAGAAGAATGAAAATGATACCACTTGACATTTTCTCTCTTCGAATGAAAATTCGAGCTTTTAGTTCACCGCGCGGTATTCTCAATTCCGGCGTTTCGAGATTTTCTTTGGTCATCTTCCGAAAGGTAAATGTATCGAGAAAATCAGAAAACCCACAATACTCACTCACATCTTCAAGTGCACACGTAAACACCCGTAATCTTTCAATTCCAGACCTTAAGAGACAGAATGATATGAGGATGGTAGCCTATAAAATATAGTAAATATGACTTCTTCAATTTTCTTATCAAAATTATCTTTAAAAATGAACTTTTTTAAATTCAGTAATTTAAAGCCGATAAAGTACTCAGCAAATCCTGGTGCTTTTTCGCTTTCGCCAATTGAACTGTAGTATTTGCTCCACCAATCAATGAAGCAGTCATCAAAGAAATATTCTTCAGAATCTACCACCGTCACTTTTTTCTCATAAACTTCCTCGAAAGATAACATCTCATCATACTTCTGCCAACTGTAAATATCCCGTTTCGTACACTGAAATATTTCAAAAAATTTGAATTTTCTCTTGCAATAAAATTCTTTACATCCATCAGATTATTAATGACCATAACGGATACTTTTCAATTCATATGTTTATTATTGTGCCAATTTTTCTCGGAAAATCTTTGAAGAAATATAAAATACCATTATATTGATTATTAAATATTTAGTATATTTTTAGGCTAAAAATTGTTGTAAAATATGCATATAATGCATAAGAAGAGGAACCTTTGGTAACTTGTTTATGTATTTGGCTAAGTCCTGAACAACACAAATACCGATGTGCGGTTCACGTCCAAACGAACGTCTATCGTATAGGTTGAAAGTTAGCGGTGGTGCATAATAAAAGTTAACGGGAAGTTGAACTTCATTTAAAATTATAAGTGGCCGCTTGAAATTTGGATTACGTTTCGCATCTTCGATCACATCACTTCGAGCTATCTTGTCACCAATTTGAATTTCCACGAATGGATTACGCACAGATGACAACTACAAAAGACATCAAGCGAAATGTATCGATTTTAGCCAAGTTTGCTGATTGATTTGAAAATTCAGCATCATAATATTTCTTCATAGTTAGGTTAAAAAGTTTATCAAAGTCTGGTAACTATTCTATTTGAAAGGATTAATTAATTGTCCGAATCGATAACTGCTCAAATAAAGATAGTGCGCTTCAAATGCTATAATATTCCATATAATTTTGGCTATCATTTAAAGTGCTATGAGATTGATAATTGATAAGATCATGTTTGCCTTTATTAGCTAAAAAAACACATCGAAAGCACCCTTGATAACATACTCATTAAAAATAAAAGTTAATGAAATAACGATGACCTCTCATATTTTTGCAATTTCATAATCTACCTGATATCGAGGTAAATCCCGAACACCCCAGCACAAAATTTGCACAGTGTACTGCTTGACAGTTGGACAAACACTTCGTGCCACTGCATAACGACTACTTCGTGTTTTATGTGGTGGCTTCAACGGTGCAATGTGTATGGCTTGGCCCTCATATAAGAATAATTCAAATAAGGCTAATAAAGCGCCTCTGAAAGTATATTTTGCCTAGAGCTGGTTTTATTTAATTTGATAAAATTAAATTCGGAAAACTGTGTTTCACTGGAAATAAATGCTTCTGCTCCGACATACTTCTGCTTATCCTTGCGGAATGATAATGGAAACCAAGTTGGCATTCCACGATGATCAGTTGCAAGTGATATAACTGACGGTGTTGTCATAAAACGTCCAAGAAATATTTCGGAACAATTGAAATCTTCTGAGCATACTTCTACCACTATTGTTGGTGGATCTTTACGGATAGACGTAATTCCACTACATATTATTACCTGAAAAGGGAACAGTCATAAAAAACATTTCTAATTCAATGATTCTTTATGTGACAGATCACAGAAAAGGGATGACAATGTAATACTCAAATACACTTTTAAATAATCAATTCATTTCTCTGATTTCCCCACACAATTAAATACTTGTTTTTTTTTCTTCTTCTTTTTCTAGATGAAGAAACACACTCGCTTGAAAATAAGCGTTTCATTCCAAATCGGATCGACAGTATTTTCAACGATTGCCGTTTCTTGACATCGATTCAGAAATACAACTCGAACAAATGCTCTCGATCTACGACGATTTGTTGGGAGTAAATCTCTGGCCCACAAAATTGATGCACGCATTTGCCAACGTGTTACGTGATCATAAACCTTGAAGATAAAGTTTCACAAGTTTTACCGCACGATGCACAAATATCTTGATAAATTTTAAATTGTATGCGATCTTTAAAATTTTACTTCATAAATTCGAGGTGAAACTGAAACATCTTCAGCTAAATAAAGAGCTAATCTGCGCCTGAAAATTTATTTAATATTATTTGAAGCAATATCAACAATCTTTTATTTGTCCATTTGAAGCAACGAAAAACAATATTTTATATATTAATAAATGTAAAAAGAAAAACTTCTGGATAATAATATTAATAAATGTAAACCTCTGGCTAAGATTAGCCGAGAATACCATTTCGCGAACGTATCGGCGGCGTCGGTATTTATCTCCAGGCATCTTTTGCACATGCACCGGTTCATGAAAGTCAATAGCATACTGCAAAGGAAATATTATAAGTGATGTGCGTGCTGCGATGAAAATAAGTGAATTTATAAAAAAAAAGATATAACCTCCCATAGCTCAGGATCAATGCTTCGCCGCAAAGCATCGATATTTTCAAAAACATCTTTACTGCCAGTTCCAAACGTTCTCATACGCCGCCAACGTCGACGTCGAAATTTATGACCTTCTCTGAAGAAGTTCATTTAGCCTCCGAACTGCGGATTCAGATTGCAGATGTATTTGTTATCAGGGATAGATAAAAGTTGGATTAATTACAAGTTATGGAGATGAACTATTTTCCAATTTAGCAATTTAAATTTACAATGCTCCAAAAGTAAAATCATTAACCGCTCTCTGTAATCGATAACGGCATCATCGTTAGCAAAATTAGCGATACTGGAGGAATAAGACCATCCTTCGGCATCGCCTGCACAGAACAGATCAATCGTCCAATCACCAACCCACCGCCATCCTCAAATTTTATTAAACTCCAGTGATACCTTCTCATATTTCTAATATAAAATTTTTCATCCATCTAAAATATTGAAATTCAAATGAATATGAGCTCAAATATTTTTCACAATCTCAATAAATCCAATGGAATTTAGTGCTAAAATAATATTTACTCGCTGGACATGATAAAACTATCACCTGGCGGAGCATTTCGGTCACGAGCATTATCAATAGGGTTACCGGATGTACCTGCATAATATAAATCAGTCCAAATATCATCTTGCTTTTCCTGCACTTCAAAAATTTCATCCTCGTATTGTGAATGACCGGCATCAGGTCCAACCCACATATCGTGGCAGAACATTATTTTCCAAGCTCCCTTAAGTTATTAATGAACTATTATATTATTAATTTCTGCTCAAATTCAGTAACAATTATGTAACTTAAAAAGCTTTTCGAAATTCAACCTTATAGGACCATCCATGCGATATTTTTATATCGTCTTCGGACATTCGAATGATCCCTGTTTCATCCGATCGAGCGTAGGGTTCACCACTGAAATCATACTATTATGAAATTATCCTTTTTATCTATTATTTATAAAAAGTTTTTTTGAGCATTTTAATATTTTTTTAAGCGAATTTTGCATTCGATTTCAATAAACACCGATAAATCGAACTTCTTTCCATTAGTCTCCATCCATTGACCACCTATATGCCTTCGCTGATTTTCGAAAACTTCAGCAAAATATTGGACAACTCCAGGCTTAATTGTTTCATCCCAATATTTACGATCTGTTACTTTTCCAAACCAAAGGCGCAAATGAACAACGGCTGGTATTTGTTCTTTCTTTTCTCTCTTCTCATCATGGCTTGGCCATTTTAATGTTATTGCTCGTAAACGTCCACAAAATGTTCCCCGATAGCAATCTTTATTGTGGTAATAGATCTAAAAGTAAATCTATCCCATATTTTTGAATAAAGAGCTTCAGGACTGATTTGGTCAATAAGATCTTCAGAGTTCAAATTCGTAGAAAGTCAATCATTACAGCAGAACTGATAATTTTAAACGAAATGAAATTTATCACTAAAATATTTCCTTTGTCTCTCTACCATTCTCTCTTCTAGTTTCACCAAAGTACGAATATGAATGCAATTTCAATGAACTAAACTGAATGAGATAATTTTAATTCCAAAAAAATCAAAATTACTTCGTTCACAGGAATTCGTGCGAACGCAAGTAATTCGTCACCATCGCACATCGAAAGTACTGCATCCGGTATTGACATTTCTGGTTCATTTGAAATTTTCATTAGAAGTTCAGCAGTCCGCTGTAGTTGATTTAAAGCAATCTAAAAAATTAGATGAAATTGAGTAATATTCAATTAAGACAACTATTGCAGTAAGAAATAGAAATGAAATATAGGAAACAGTGTAATAGAATCTAAAACTCCAATTTAATTATAAAATTGCACCCTTTTAATTGCCGTAACGATGAATAAATACTGACTTCATTCACTTGAAACACATTTTTTTTATCGTATTTCAGCATGGCAAAATCCTCGATCATTTCAACAATTGATGAAATAATGACATGTCGGCGCTGTTGGTCAAGCGATGACGAGAGCGGTGCTTGCCAATCTCGTTCAATGCTGCAAACATCTAAATAATTAATTGCAATTATTAATATCAATACCGAATTGAATTGAACTGAATTGAAAGTCTTATTTTAAGAAACAAACCATCTGCTCAATTTCGCAAAATAATCGCAAGCCTGATCAATAGCGTCGACAATGATTGAAGATACTTCTGTTTTATCGTTGGATTTCAATTTTGCCAAACCGAAAGAGTGCAACAGCATCTTAGCTATCTATACATAGGTGGATCAATCTACCAAAGTCTATACAAGTTCAAGGTTCAGCGAAGCTTTTAAAATATCTTATATTGTTCTATTAAAAATATATGATATTATTGAAAAGCATATAGTATAAGATAGGAAAGCAATAACCTTCTGCAAAACATTGGAATGCCTCATTCGGAATGAAACATCCTCCCACGCACAAGGTATTTCACAGACAGGCTTATGATTCCCCCATGGCATCGCGTAGTACTTCTCAGCAAAGGCTGGCATTACCTTAACAATAAATAGTCCTCAATCAATTCAAAGCTCTCTTATTCCTTTTTCAGTAAATATTTGATTTCAAATGTTTCATTTAGCACCAAAATACCCATAAAAGAATGGAAATCTTCGATATAATATAGCGATCGATGGTAAGCTTAGAAATATAAGTAATAAAAAAAGATTTACCGAAAGTGTTCGTGCCGTACATTTTGGTACTTTTCCGTAGGCTCGATTACCGTACTCTCCTATGCTCAACGAAAAACGCACATTTTTGGATCTGTTGAAGTAGACATTAAAAGTTTAGTATCACGTAATTCAAATCAACTTCATATTGGATAAAATGAAAACAAAAATTCATTTAAAAGCCTACTTCAATTTAGGATGAATCATATTTGCAGCAAAAAATGTGGACAGTAATATATATTCTGATGTACGTAACTGTGGCTTTAACGATAGTACAGTATCAGGCGTTATCGAATCACGACAACTTTGCCCGCAATCTTCCTCCAAACATATCACTTCAACAAGCGCACGAGCAACAAAACTGCAAATTTACTATTTAATTACTTACAAAGAAGAAATTTGTTGATACAAATGAACGAATTCATTACCAATCGCCTGATCGTCTTCCTTCTCGTACAGCTTTTTCAATTTTTTTTGTTATTTGATGTTCATTTGACGCATAAAAGCTTATATATGATGGACCAAATACTGGCAAGAAACTATAAATACGACAAGATCATTTACTGTTTAGTTTGTTTGCTTGTTTCTATTTTTGATTCTTAACTAGTATTTGTCAATTAAAACGAACCCTTGATTATCAGAGCTGGATGGATCACTTGCTATCACATTCATATATCCTGACTGACAAATATCAGATAAACTCAGGTGTGCCGTAGCAAGTATTTTTTCCCTGTTCTTTTTGCGAATCTTTGTCTGATAAACGAGAATAATACGAAATGATACCTAAGATTAACTTTTTATTGCAACTCAAAAAAGAAATTTGCGACTGTGTCAAATACAATGGATAATTTTCCTTATTTCCTTATAAAATGTATTTCCACTTGCCAAAGTTTTTAAAGTTTTTTTCTGCAACATGATACGATATTTCATTTCTAGTATTTTCTTCAGATATATTATTTAAAAACAAACAAATTAACGAACATATTTAACAACGGTTGGCCAAACCACAGGAAGCATAATTTCTTCATTAAAATCAATCACTTCATACAAAGCTGGTAGAACATGCGTCTTTTCACGTTCTTTTCCAACCTAAAAAATTTAATTCATATATTTTAAGTCTAAAATATAGAAACTAAACTTTATATACCTGTACTTGAACAGCGAGTCTCGCAACATCATCGTTGTACATTCGCAAATGATCAGCTATTTGACATAATTGGAAGATTCTTACCTGGAAATGAATAATTTTCAGTACAAACTTAATTCTGTACTATCTAGCTCCCTAAAACATTTCTGCCTTATTAAATTTAATTGTTTTCTACGCTTTCATAATTTTCAATAGCACAACCTACCAGCATAGTGTATTGCATAAGTGAACCAGAGAACAAAATGTCCTCGTCATCATGTAACATCGTATTACGTAACGATAGTGCCGGTGTCGGATCAAGACTTCGCCGTACATTCATTGATACCTAAGCGAAACGAATTTCGACATTCACGGAAATATTGAAAGTAATGAAAGGATTTCAGATAGGGAAAGATTATAACACTTATCAATTAATAGCATCTTTATAATCATTTAGAGAAAGCGCAACTAAATTGAATTTTTACTAAGAACTCATAACAGAAGTTGGTAGTAATATATATGTACAACGGAACATAGTTTTCTATAATATTTTTCTTTTCGTAAATTTAAAAAAAAACTTCAAACTTAATTTTCTAACCTTCAAGAAGCCACGTATATCGGAAGAAGCAATTCGATCGATTTCTCCCATTGCTGCAACTTCTTGATAGTCGGATCTGAGAACAAGCCATTTTTCTCGCAACAAATGTCGCTTTGATTTGTAGATGTATCCCAATTCGCATTGAAATCCTCCGATCAATGTATCACTTGCAAGTTGTCGAGTATTATATACCTGTTTCAAATTTTTGAATTAATAATCTAAATTGCTATAAACAACCAATGAATTCAATTATAGCATGATTTTAAGAATCATTCGTAAAAAACGTATAAGAGTATTTTACTTTAGACTTAATTATATGAAAAAAATATTTCATTTTGAACTGAAAATTCCTTTTAAGTTCAGATAAATTCAAATAAAAAAATGCATGCAGTCGTATAAATAGTAGTTCTCTTTTTCTTTTACTTCAATTTACTTTAGAATAGCATATGTATTTTTCCTTTATCAAATCTTAAACGAATACAAACTCGAAACTCCAAACAGGTCCGCATCATGTCCTGAATCGACTTTCGGATCGTGAAAGAGAGAGATTCATCCCAACGTGGTGAATTCGTACTGTGCTGCGAAAGACTGGAACGACAACGTCCATCTAATATTACACAGAGCAAAGGATTCAAATTATTTCCATGAAGTTCACGAGCCTCAAATATGTGTAGTCGTACCTAAAATAAAACTTTGATTTTTTTAATTCTCGAAGTTAATAGCAGCAAGGTTAAATTTCTAGAAAAGTCAGACAATTCTGAAAAAAAATTGGTGGAAATAAAAAAGCAACTTTCGTGTGTCGCGAAAGTCGCGAAATTTCAAGAATATTATAAATGGTCAAGTGTTTACAGATACATTTTATATATACATATATATTCACAGATGTAATATTACTCTGTCTTAATACATGTTCATACGTGTCAATTATAATGTTTCTGTTTAAACCAATAACACAGTCAAATGATTCATTTCGTACTTGCATATTCGTTCCCTGTGCTACATGATCTCCTTTGCTCTTATATCCTCCAATATCT